AAAAACCAAAAACAAACAAACAAAAAAAAACCCAACACCTTATTGGTCTAATAAAGAGCTGAATGGCCAATAGTGAGGCAGGAGAAAGGATAGGCAGGGCTGGAAGGCAGAAGAATAAATAGGAGGAGGAATCTGGGAGGAGAGAAGAAAGAGAAAGAGATCAAGGAGCCAGAAAAGAAGGGCCCAGCCATATAGCAGCCACTGAGAAACAGTGAAAGAAAGATTTACAGAAGAAAAGGAAAAAGCCCAGAGGCAAAAGGTAGATGGGATAATTTAAGAAAAGCTGGCTAGCAACAAGCCAAGCTAAGGCCAGGCATTTATAAGTAATAATAAGCCTCTGTGTGTGTAATTTATTTGGGAGCTGGGTGGTGGACCTGCAAAAGAGCAAAAACAACAACATTTTGGTGATCCAGCGTGGGCCCGTAGAAAGCTGAACAACACATACTCTTCACTGCTGAGCTGTCTTTGCAGCTCCTGAACTTTTCATTGGTGTTTTATACAAGCTAGATTAGGGGATCATGGTAGCATAGAAGAAGCAGCAGATGGAAGGGACTGTTTGAGTTCAGGAACAAAGGCAATGAGCGAATGATATGTCAACAAGATAGCCAGGCTACACAGTAAGGCCCCATCTCAAAAATCCTAATGAAGTACTAGCTAGCCATAATAACAGCAGCAACAGAGTAGAGTCGGGAGATGGGGAATGGAAAGCAAGCATCTGCTCTGGGAGCCCTGGGAGCCCTGGGACCACTGTGTTCAGGTTACACAGCTCTAGCTATTGACAGTTTCTCTGGAGGCACAGAAGAGGCAAAATTGAGTGTCATAGAGCCATTCAATCATCCAGTGGGAGATTTGGGACCTTTTTCATAGAATAGGCACCTAATTAACCTCATCAAAGGGTAGGCAACATGGTGGTTCATGTTACTTAAATACAAGTTCACTGGCTTTGTGGACTGTTGATTTCAGGTGCTCAGGTAGGGTAATTGGAAAGATTTCTCTTTGCTATTGTTTTGTGTTTTAGTGATAAGTTCTCTCCATAATGTAGGCTGACCTCAAACTAACAATCCTCCTGCCTCCTGCCCAGAGTGTTGCAATTACAGACGTATTCTGTCATGCATGGTAGAACTTTTCTCTTGATCTGTTTGTATCTGTTATTATATTATGATTGCTTTGTTCTGGGTTGAAAAGTTTTTCTTGGGCATGCAGTCTTTATCATGGCAAGAATGGACAGTAGCTGTAGCTGCAAGTGTTTGTTTTGTTTGTTTGAGATGGGATCTTGTGATGTAGCCCATGATTGCTGCAATACTCTGGGGATTGTAGGCATCATCATACTCATCTGAGGCATAAAATAAAAAGTCTAGTAACAACCAGGACTTACAGAAAAAGTCTCACAGTTGCCTTGTCTAAAGTACATGCTCGTTCATGAACCAAACTTAGAACCTGAGGAAAAAAATAGCACACTATCATTGGCTAAGCCTGGGTCACATGTTGGGGCTCACCCCAATCACATATGAACTGCTTGAATTGGTAGCAGATGATGGATGGTTTTCCCAAGGAAAGTCAATGCAATTAGCAGAGAAGAGGTGGATGAAGTTAGATTAAGCAGGAATTTCAACACCAACCATAGAGAGATCACATGATCACTCACTTGCTTAAAACCCTTCTTTTACAAGGGAGAAAAGTGAGATTCCAGATAGGTGAATGGCTTTGAGAGTGGATCATTTAACACATGTGAAAATGTTTGGTACGACATTAGGCCTGGGCTAGAAACTCACTTGAACTCATTGTCTTTATTCTATGTAGTTCCCACCTCTGGGGACGGTCCTTACTCCCCATCTCTATTGCCTAGGCCCCTGCAGAGCCTGAGTCCTGGCGTCTTTCCTTCTCAGGCCACTCCCGGGTCTTGAAGTCATCAACCTTCAGTGGCTCTGTTAGTTTGTGGACCTGTATAGCCAAGTGGACAATGTGGTTGAAAATTTTATCTGTCCTGGAGCCTGGAAATACAACAGCAAGGTGCATTGTCCTCCTGAGGCCTCCTTGATGTGCAGATGGTGACAGTCTCCCTGCATCTTCATATGCCCATGTCCCCACTTTCAGTCACAGTGGGTTAGGGGCTGCTCTCTAGACCCTTGCATGTACTAGGGAAGTGTTCTGCCTCTGACCTCCATCCCCAGTTCTTTTTTTTTTTTTTTGGTTTTTCGAGACAGGGTTTCTCTGTGTAGCTTTGCGCCTTTCCTGGAGCTCACTCTGTAGCCCAGG